AAAATTTCATTTGGTTCTCTCCTTGACTTGAAGCTTGTATCATAAGCCGAGATCTTCAAGCAACATAATAATGCAAGTTCATCTAAAACTTTTTATTTTAATCATTTGTGAGGGATGCTACTGGTGAATAAAGGTTCTTCTTCATATGTTTTTTATTTTTGTTTCGTTTTGGGGGCTACTCCTGATGGTGCTTAGAATTTACTACTGACTCTGTGTTCATGAATCACTCCTGGCAGTGTTCAGAGGACCATACGTGGCACCGGAGAGCAAACCTGGGTGCTGGGGATCGAACCTAAGACTGAGACTTCCTACTGTAGTATGGTTCAGCCCTGGGTGAATGAACTTACCCCAAAATTATGGGGCACTTTGGTGAAGGATATCATCCAAGTACTTTGACTAGTAAAGTGTTTGATCCCATATCTGTGCATGTATCTGAATATGGTATCCCCAGTCCTGTGGCCTCTCTCTTTAACAGGTCTCAGCTTTTCAGAGAATGAGATTTTCCTTTTTATCAGCCTCAGTTTTCCCCCTATACTGAACACTAACAGGATCTGCCTGACAACTTTTATGCTCTTGTTTTTCAACAAAAACTCCCTGTATTTCAAAAGCTCCTCTGTCCTCTTTCTCCACACTTCATGTTGATTCCTTTCATTTCAGGAGCCTGAGAACCACTCAGCTGGTTATAACCAAGATGTCTAGTTGGCCCAGGTTATATTTTGGGGCCAAGAGTAGGGTATGACTCTTGCTTTGCATGCAGCCCACTGGATTTGATCCCTTGCATAGCATCTGGTTCCCTCAGCACTGTAAGGGGTAATCTCTGAATACAGAGTCAGGAGTAAGCCCTTAGCTCAGCTGGATATGCACCCGCTAACCCCAGCTCTGTAAAAAAAGGGGAAAGACACACTGTAATATAGTCTTTGTTCGTGTGATTTTCTATTCCTAGAGTTCTTAGAGCACTCTCTCCTGCAGTCATGACCTCGAATTCTGGTCATTTGATAAAAATTTATACCAAAATTGGCTCTTTACATTTCAGAATTTACTCTGGTGCATGAGAGCACTCATTTTTCTAGCTTGGCATTTTTCTCTCTAAATGAAAAAAAAGTATCTTGGGGCCAGAGAGATAGTATAATGGATAAGGTGCTTGTTTTGCACCCTGCTGATGTAGATTTGATCCCCAGCAGTACACAAAGTCCCCCAAGAATCTCCAGGAATGTCCTCTACATATATCTAGAAGTAAATACTGAGTTCAGTGTGATACAAATTCACCCCCATACCCACCACCACCAAAAAAAAATCAAACATTGTCTATATTCCCCTAAGATACTTTACCATCTTTTTTTTAACTTTAATCTTTTGGTAGACAACTGCCCTCTGATTTTTCAGTTTTAAAAACAAGTGTCAGTCACAAGATCAAACTTTAGAGTTTCTACTTTTTTGTGTCCATTTTGGTTATAGGTGCTTCAGATTTTACTAAGTATTGTGTTAGGGGACAACATTGAAAATAAATTTCATAATGAGCTGTGATAGGTATGATGTGCTAACCCACCCTTCCTTCCTTCCTTCCTTCCTTCCTTCCTTCCTTCCTTCCTTCCTTCCTTCCTTCCTTCCTTTCTCGTTCTATTTTATTTTCCTTTCTCTTTCTTGGCTCTGTGCTTAGGTATCATAAGTGGGGGCTGAGGATCAAACCCAGGTTGCCACGTGCAAGGTGCAAGGTGCAAAGTGCCCTACCTTCTGCTGTATTTCCTCAGCCCCTAACATTTTCTTAATAATCACTAAGATTTGCTAGAGTAGCTTGTGGTCCCATGAATGACAGTTAGTTTGTGTAATATTCATGGTACCATCTATGAAGTAATACTGTCATGGTAATCAGTATTGAAGAAAGAATTTTAAGGGTAGGAGAGGCCTCTCTGATGGAGATGATTGTATTTACCAAACATTCCATGAATTGCCTAGTTGCTCTACATTTAGGTTCAGTACTGACCAACACTCAGTATGACATGTGTCTTCCCTTGACCGACCAGTAGAGAAGAGCTGAAAGTCTTCCGTAGGTTCTCTTGTCCTGTGTGGGGATTAGAGCAGCCTTGTGATATGGTTGAAGGTGGAAGCAATCTGAATCTCTGAAACATTGCATGGAAATCTCTGGCTTTGGGACATCATATGGCCCTCAGTGGATTTATGTGGATAATAATAAAAAACATTGTTGTTCTAAACCACTGAGATGTGTGGACCATTTTTTTTTTTTACTGTGGTATAAGTCTTGATAAATATATCTAGAATAGTTCTTCTAAAAGAATTTTAACGTGGAAAAATACGCTCTTTATACTGGGAGTACTTGATATATGCTTAGACAAATAAAAATACATAAATACAGACAGACACATGAAACAAATGTGTCAGGAAATAATAGCTATTATTAATAGGCGTACTATTTCTTAGTCTGTTTTATTCTCTTTAAAAACTTTCATTTTGACTCCTTCAATTTATTGTACAGCCCACTTAGGGGATGTAAGTTGAGTTTGAAAAATGATGCTAAAATAACAATTTGTCTATAATTATTTGATAATTATAAATCATGCATATTTATGAAAGCAGGACTTTTGGATTTTTTGATAACTTTTTATTACCTGCTTCTAGAATGGATGGAAATGCTTTTATGTAATACATATCACATCCCACATAATTTCTGGAAGGTAATTATTTTATTGTTGCACCTCCTAATTTACAACATGTCTTCTTTAATTTACTTATAAAATTTTTATCACAGGGAATAACAATGTTAACTATATTAATCATTATTTGCTTATATTTAAAAATAAATGATTATAAATGCCTCTTGTATTAGTATCAGGGATATCATAAAAACCTCACTATCTAGACATATATTAGTGTTAATACTGGAGCAAAATATTATATCAAGACCAAATAATTTTATATAGCACTATGTATATTTTATATACTGTATAATCATATCAAAACTTGCCATTTATATTAAGAAGCACATAAATTACTTTCTAATTTCATAAATTATACCACAACTGTGAAAATATGGACAACTGTTTTATACTTTTGTTGCTATATAAGACTTTTGATGTTTATACAGAGAACTGCAAAATTACAGAGTTGATGTAATGGGAAATGATGAACATTTTCACCTGAATTTTCACCAGCCTTTTTCTTCAGCTTGAATGGTCATCTTAATATTCTCAGAATATTTTTTAGATATGAATATGGTGTTTCTCCAATAAAGCCACATGTTAAGTATATATGTGTATATACATGAATACAAATGTATATATACACATATACACTCATGTATATATTATGCATATGTATACATATTTCTGTGTGCACTTAAACACACATGCACACATAATGTCCTTTGGTTTATTTTCAGTCTGTTAATGTGAAATGAGTTTTTGATAATGTCCATTAAGTTTTATTCTCAGAAACTAAAATGGTTTAAAAAGACCTTCACGATAAGTATTAATTTTTTTTAAAAAACCATAGATATTATTGCACTTTAAAGCATTACATAGGGAAGGTCATATGGTGTTATGGTATTAGGGAAGATGTAAATTCATGCCAATATGAGGGGAGAGAGAAATAAAACAGATTTCCCAATTTTTCCTCTTGAAGTTGCCACTGTCAGAGAAGGGAACCCAGTGGTGTTGTATTACTGGCATTGAGGACAGGAGCTTCAATGTTAGCTACTTGCTCCCACTGGATAAACTACATGTAGTCAGAAGTGGTTGCTTGGTTCTTGGAAATAAAATAAAAAACAAAAACAAAAACAATTTTTTTGTTTTTTTTTGGCAATGGATAGGCATTGAGTTAGCATGGAGGCAGGAGTCAATTCTTGGGGAGTCGGGGAACAAAAATAACAGCAGGGCAGAAAGTATTTCTATTTGGTAATGAAATAATATCTTATATGAGAGTGGGGAAAATGGAATAAGTGACATTTGGGTTGCAGGTTAAACTTCCTCATGGATTACTGGATTGCCAAGATAGTAACTGTTTCTCTTCCTACTTTCAGGTTTCAAGTTACCCATAGGTGAGTTAGCATTGACCCGCAGAGGCCTGTGTGAAGATGGCCTTTTGCACCTTCTAACCTTCCCTCTGCACTTCTGACTTTCCTCCCCTAACAGAGACTTGTTCCAGAAACAATGCGAAAGAGTAAGATGATCCCTTTCCAGTGATATAGATTGGAACCAAAATCCAAGTGCCTGTGTATCTTCTCACATCAAATTAATAAACTCTAAAGTAAACGAGGAAAGGGAGTGGTCCTTAAAATAAAAATAAGAAAACCTCAAAAAATTATGATTAATGAAATCATTCTACTAGAATAACCATTTTTTTTAATCAGATGAGCTGACAGATGTGTTTTACTTTTTTTCTTTTTGAATAGCTATGTGAGCAAACTTAGAAAATTGGGGTTGGGATAAAAATAAAGAGAAGCTGATAAAATTTTGGGCTTTTGGAGCAGTTTTTCCCCAGATCAGTGACTGGTGAAAAAACAGCAAAACCACTTTGGGTTTTTTTGTTGTTGTTGTTTGTTTGTTTTTTAATCTCTCTGGCTGAGTAGGGCGAATTGTGATGGTAGTGTTGGTGTTAGCTTTCCCAATACCTGTACTTTTTGACTTCCTTCCCTATCCTGTAATTAGGATTTTCTATGAATGGCATCTTTCCACTCATGCCACCATAGTCTATATCCCTGAAAAATCATTCTCGGTTTAAAGCATCTCTTCCCCAGGAATCTAGAACATCTGCTGTGCTGGAATGGATTCAGAGCCCACCCTTGCCATCATGTTTGATTATCTTTTTAGGTAACAGGTCTTCCATTGGAACCATGAACCAGTGTTCTTGGAGTCACAAAAGTGTGGAATTTTCAATCTCTTCTCTCATATAGGAAAAATTTGAAGAGAAAGCCATCCCAGTTTTATTTGCAGAACATCACCTATCTGAATGACACAAACAAAGAACTGAGAGTGACAAAGAGGACATAGGTGCTTGTGGGAACACTGTATTTGGGAAATAGAATAAAAAAGATTGCTTCCATTGGAATGAAAATAATCGACAGTGAGTGCAGCTTCAGATCAAGACGTTGGAATCGCTTGTGTGTGGGGAAAGTAATCGCTAGGTGCCTGGTGGAAGTGTGAAGTGAGGACAGAGAGGCAGACGGGGGAGGGCGCGGGGAGGCAGCGAGGCTGGTGAGCAGCGCTAGTTCTTGTGCAGGATGCTTTTCAGGCTTCGCTCAACAGCCTCGTCCAGCTCTTCCTCCAGCTCTTCCTTCTTGGACATGGCCAGCTTGGACTGGTAATCCCTCACCACTTGGTCAATGTAGGGGGCGCTCTGCGTGCCATGCAGCATCAGTGTCCACTCCTTCAGCACCCCTTTTTGGGGCGCACTGCCGACAAATCCCAACTCCAGGGTCCAGGTTCCTCGGGCATCTTCCCCCCAAGTGTGGGTGGTCATAAAAGGCCACTTGTCAAAGCCCACCTTCGAGTCGTCATCCCTCGGCCGCCGGCTCAGCAAGATGGACTTGGTGCCCATGGGGGAGGTCATGTTGATGTTCAGGTCTCCTCTCCTAGTCGCGTTGACCGTTATGACAGCTTGGACGTGCTCGAGGTAGCGGACAAAATTTTCCTTCCCCTCACAGGCATCGGTTGTAAGGGTCAGCACCAACTTGCCAGAAGATGGTATTTTCCTGCAAACAAAGTGATGAGGAGATATAGTAAGGGGAGGGCACACTATATGATCGATCTGAAGACAGCTTCAGGGTGCAGAAAGGATAATCTTGGGGGGTGGTAATCACACAACCTAGGTTAATTCTTATTTATTTATTTATTTTGCTTTTTGGGTCACACCCAGTGATGCTCAGGGGATACTCCTGGCTCTGTACTCAGGAATTACTCTTGGCGGTGCTTGGGGACCATATGAGTTGCTGGGAATTGAACTGGGTCAGCCATATGCAAGGCAAATGCTCTATCTGCTGTACTATCACTCCAGCCTCGGTTCCTGCTTAATTTTTAATTCGCACTTGAGCTGTGTGATCTTGGGTCAGTTACTCTCTTCCTTTTATGAGGAAGGTGGATGTAGCAGAGGTTGTTGATGGTCCTCCCACTTAACCTGTGGGGATTCCTTTCCACCTTAGATATCACCATTGCCCAGCTTCTCATTTTGCTGCATGGGAGCCCTCTCAGCCAGTATGCAGAGCAACCCCAAAGTATCCGGAATTGAATTTCTCAGGGACAATCCTCTATCAATGATTGATAGTAATTGGTGGGTAGAGATATTCTGATATCCTCAGAGTATGGCACAACTCAATGTCCTTAACAAGATTGAGCTTCGTTGTCTATGGTACTTTCTTGCTCACCAATGCACTCTACCGTCACCCTTCCCCCCATTTCCTTTCTCATACCTTCACTTCCTCACATGTGATTCCTGAGATTATCTCTCAAGAAAATTGTCAGCACTTAAGTTCCACTTTAGGACTATGCTTTGGAGGACTTGGATTACTACAACAATAGGCTGTAATACTTCTTCAAGTTCAAGTTCTAAATACAATTAATGACAAAATCTACTGTGAATGTGATTACTGTCACTTTTGTATAAAAGCTAAACTTGGTTGACTTAACCCTAGTAAAGAAAAGTTTTTAGAAAGATCAGGAAATTTCAGCTACTATCTTTGGTCTACTTGGGAGACCTTTTGGTCACTGTATTGGAGAGGGCCAATCTAAGCAGTCCTCAGCTGTCTTTTCATACAACATATATATATATATATTTTTTTTTTCTAAAAAGGATCTCCTTTGAAGGTTATAAGCTCAAAATTTCTTTCAGCAGAAACAACAAAAAAAGCATATCTGAGGATTGAATGAATTGATTGTATGCACTCCTTTGATTGATGCATAGGCTCTGTAGATTTTGAAAACACTGAATTAGGCTAGAATTCTGTTTCTATGCTTAGCAGTCAGGAGAGTTTAGGTAAATGATTTAATTATTTGAAGCTTCCCTGTCATTGTTGGGTGGTTTTAGTAATGTTATTCAAGATCATGAATGAAAACCCAAACCTGATACTTGGCACATGATATCAGCTTCGCTTCCTTGGCCTTTTGTCTATGTTAGTATCTGCTCCTGACATGGATTTATTTAAAAGCATACTATTTCAGATATTTCAAAACACATTTTGTGGAACATATTTATATATTTTTATATATTTATATAGCAAAATATATATTTATATATTTATATAGCAAAAATGTTGCTTTAAAAGCTTACTATTTCAGATATTTCAAAACATATTTTGTGGAACATATTTATATATTTTTATATATTTATATAGCAAAATATTATATATTTATATAGCAAAATATTATATATTTATATAGCAAAAATGTTGCTCACAAAGTCAAGCAAAATACTGCTTTGGGAAACAAAAACCTGAACCTAGAGAGTTTGCTGAAGAATAGTGTATTGATAAAGGCAACAATCTCTGAAGGAACCTCCAGAATACCTGTATCTACCTAGTGTTGCTCTGTGACTTTCCATTGACAGTCAGGCTGACTGATTCATCAGGTATCTGTTGGTCATTGTGAACCAACAGTGGTAGAGTTGTGGTAACAAGTACCAGGATCTGGAGATTCATATGATTTGGACATTAGGCCCACACTGAAAGTAAACATATGGAGAACTTTAAAGGATCTCTTTAAAAAGATGCTATTTACTCAGAACATAACAGAAGTATATAACAGGTAGGGAGGTAAATGACAAATGGTCCAGGTAAGTTGTGGACAAAGCACTTGAATTGTTGGAACTCATTTTCTTTATATGCACAGTGGGGACATAATTACAACTCTGAGGAATTGCTCTGAAGATAGAGTCATATATATGTCACAGTCACGGTTACGGTCCTCCCATTGTTCATCGATTTGCTCAAGCAGGCCCAGTAACGTCTCCATCATGAGACTTGTTGTTACTGTGTTTGGCATATTGAATATGTCATGGGTAGCTTACCAGGCTCTGCCGTGTGGGCAAGATACTCTTGGTAGCTTGTTGGGCTCTCCGAGAGGGGCAGAGGAATCGAACTTGGGTCGGCCATGTGGCCACTTGTAAGGCAAACGCTCTACCGCTGTGCTATCACACCAGCCCATATATATGTATATATCTAAATTACATTATATATTTACAAATGTATAGACTAGTGTTAGCTCATAGAACTTCCTGCAATGATGGAAAAGTTCTCCTGAGGTTTTCCACAGTAGGCACTGGCCCACAGGTGATAAGTGCAAGTGAGGAACTGAATTTTTGAGGTCACACTTGGTGATGCTCAGGGCTTATTACTAGCTCCACATTCAGGGACCAGTCCTGGATTGGGGGACCATATGGGCTGCCCAAGATTGCATCTGGACGGTGCATGCAAGACAAGCACCTTATCTGTTGTACTGTCTCTCTTGTCTTGGGTATCGAATATTTATTTAATTTTCTTTTAGTAGCTAATTCAAACTTACTAATTTTTACTAAATAGCCACGTGTTTATTTTCTTCTGTATTGGATAGCACAGGTCCAAATTCTTGGTTGTATATGCAATTTGATCGGGAAAAAAGTAACATATCCCAGAAATAATCTCATTCAGATTCCATTTGAGTTTGGGCGCTAATGAATCTGTTTCCTGCTTCTCTGCAGACTCACTCTAGGCAATGGAATTCTACACAATTTACTAATAACTGGTTCATATGGGGTTACACAGGCAAGTGACCTTGCCTCAAAGTGCAGGTAGGAGTTAGGAGATGTGGTACCTTTGATGCTTCAGATCTGGTTCATATGGGTCAGGTTCCACAGCTTCATGTTTTCTGAAACCACATATGAGTTTCCTGATCCAAGACTCTATTCTCTGTTGTTCGTTCTAAAAACCCACCCTCAAAGAAAGCTGCTGCACCTGAGCAGTTCTCAGCCTTTGCTTCCAGGCTTGCTGACCTAGGGAAGATGCCCCTTGTTCTTAGACAGGACCACTTGGGAAGCAGTTTTCAGATTCCTTAGCTGTACCTGGGGGCCTGCTGAGTGTCTGATATTATTGCTGCTTATACATTCTATCCAGAGACTGGGCAAGTTCCTTCTCTTACCGCCTTGGCTTTTTGTTTTGTTTTGTTTTGTTTTAGCAACACACCCAGTGGTTCTCAGGGAATATTTCTGACTCTGTGCTCAAAAATCATCACTGCTGGAGGGTATTAGGGGACAATGTGGGCTGCCAGGGATCATATTCAGATCAGTGACATACAAAGTAAGTGCCCTACTCATTGTACCATCTCTTCACTATCCCTGGAGGTGACAGACCTAGATTAGACAGAGGTATTTAGGCATATCAGAGGTGCCAGGGATTTGAGGTCCAACCTCATTGTTCCAATAGAGGTTGGGCTGCCCTTGCCTGGTTGTGCTGTGTCTTCCTTTCTTATGAAAAAATCATACCTTATTTTCCCAGGAACTCATAAATAATAAGAAAAGCCACTAGAGGGAAAAACCCAGGGAGGAAGAACAGTGTTGGTGACTGATTAGGGGAGGGAAGAACAGGGGCTACCTGTTGTCCTCTCTAAGAGTTCCTTACATGAGGACAAATGAGGACAAAATAATGAGAATTTTGCCTTCCCCATGAGGTTTACTTGTGGAAACAAAATGGAATGTGCAAAGATCCTTAAATAATACACGAGTCACATTCTGCTATAGAAGATGTGGCACACATCAAGTTGTGTGGTCCACTCTCTGGACTTCAAGAAAATAACAAAATTCTTGTTTAGTTTTAATTTTTAAAGCAATGTTTTGCATCTTTAGTCAAAGGGATTCAAACAAAAGATAAAATTGAGGGGCTGGGTACATAGTACAGCAAGTAGGGTGCTTGCCTTGCATGTAATCAACCCAAGTTAGATCCCTGACACACTATATGGTCCTCCAAGACCCACCAGGAGTAATTTCTGAGTACAGAACCATGGGTAATCCCTGAGCACCACTGGATAGAGCATAAAACAGAACAAAACAAAACACAAAAATTCCAAAAATAAAATTGAAAATGTAGTATTCAAAATTCACAAAACAAAAAAATTTTACAGCTAAAAATGATTGTCCCTTCAAATGATATTTCTTACAAGTTTGTCAAATTTAGACTTCTTTGTTGGTTAATGTCAAAATTCCACCAAGCCTTTGGAATGTTTATTCTTTTACCCTATGACCAGTCTGCAATTCCTACCAAGTACTCTTGTGAACCTGAAGAAGAGATTTCTGCCCTCACATGAGTTATAGTTTAAAGGGAGACACAGACTATTGAGCAAATGAGCAAGATAATATTGAATAATAATTGCTAACACAAATGACATTAAACAAGGTGGCATAATTGGGGCACAGCTAATGAACTGAACTCAAGTTTATAATGCACACTTTTTCTGCAGTGCTTCCCAGAGCAATCCCAGGATGGCACGAGCCCTGGCAAGATTATTATTACATGCCGTCTTTTCAGTCAGAGCACTTGGATTTGTGCTCTAGACTTTAGAATGAGATCATATTTGAGCAAAGAATTTGAAGAGTTTAGAAACCACATTGTTGGTCATAGTCTAAATGTCCCAAAATTTCTTTACCATATTTATTCTTGCCAAACAAACTTGGGGACTTGAGGATGGCGTGTGTCTTAATTTTATTGCACATTTTTGCAAATGAGTGCTTGTTTTTGTTTTGGGGTGTACCACACCCAGCAGTGCTCAGGTTCTTAATCCTGCCTCTGTGCTCAGGGATCACTCCTAGCAGGGCTCAGGGAACAAACGTGGTGCCAGAGATCAAACTAGAGTCACCTTCATACATGGAAATGACCTGTACTGTCTCTCTGTCCCTACATGAGAGATCTTGTTAAAAGAAATGGGACTCAATAATCAGGACCACCTGTAGACTATTATTAGTGTTCTGAATTCTCAACTATTTGAGAAAAATCAACTGGTAAAGAAGCTATAGTTAGAAAACCAACAGAATAACAATAACATCCACTTTTTCTTGAGTGCCTAGAAGGCCTACTCATGGCAATTACTTAACATTTACAGACCTGGGACTGCTGTGACATATTCTCACTCCTCTGTAATAGCCCACATCTGGTAGACTCTGCAGTAAAACACTGCAGCTCAGAAAGTGATATGTCCATGTCACAGCTGCCTTGTATGTGGCAAGCACCCATTTCTCTCACTCACCTTACTGCTTCTGGAGTTTCTATCAGGCTATAACTTTTATCCCCAAATTCACTTAAAATTTAGTTTTAGAGGGGATCTGGCAATAGTTGTCTTTGGGATTTAGGGAGGCTTGGGGACAACTTATTACTTATTGCTCTGGGAAGCACTGCAGAAAAAGTGTGCATTATAAACATGAGTTCAGTTCATTAGCTGTGCCCCGATTATGCCACCTTGTTTAATGTTACTTGGGTTAGCAATTATTATTCAATATTATCTTGCTCATTTGCACAAGTGGTGGCTTCACTGTGGGGGTTACTAGACTGACACTGGCTGAGGCACTGGACAGGCTGAGTTTTCTCTGCTCACTGCCCGGGACTGGTCTGGCGTGCACATTCACAGCCAGTTGATGCTCTGCTTTTATTTCAGTCAAGTTTCCACCACTGACTCTCCTGATAAAGTCTCTTCAGAAAATTGCTTTTTAAATTGGCTGCTTCTCCAGGAAGATTAATGCTAAGGAAACCCATCAGCCCGACAGCTTTCACTCCCCCAATTCAGAGGCTGTTTCTGTTAGAGAAAATTGTGATTGTGCGGCTAGTGACCCCTCAGTCCAGCCCCCTGGAAACTCCATTTGTGGCCTTCAAGACTAGGCAGCCAGGGTCTCTGCCAGGTCTTCTCTGAACCTCAAAGCTTTTCCTGAATTCTCCACAAGCTCCATCTATCTAAGGCAGCTGAGTCAGGAGTGTGGACCGAACGAGGGAGAATCACCTGGCAATCACCTGTCCTGTTTCTCTGGCCCTCCATGAAGAGAAGCAGAGCCCTTCTCGAGACTGAGTCTTCTTAAATGGTCTGTGGTTAGCATTTAGACTTTTTTCTTGAGCCCCAGATGATGCTAACTAAATTTTCAAAAATATTTCTCATGTATCAGGCATGGGGAGATAGCTCAGTGGGCTGGCACACATACTTTGTCTGTGAGAGGCTCTGGGCAGCGCATGGCACTGAGGAACACCAGCTATAGCTCTGTGGACTCAAAGACTGAACTGTAAGGCACGCATAGCATGGAGGAGTATTGTGGGGGAAGAGTCTACCAAGGAGATGCTCTAGGTATTTAGGATACTCCACAGACAAAACCGACTGAGTCCCTGTCCATGTGAAGAGGCCAGCTGAGCAGTTTTGATATTGCCCTGAGGTAATCTTGGACAAACCTTTTATTTAGGTGTGAGCTGTTGCGACATTCCCATTTCTGGGCTTCATATTCCTTAACTATAAAATTATGAACAGAGAAGTGACCACTATGACAATGATAGTTGGAAATAATCACACTGGACAAGAACTGTATGCTACAATAGGTAAAGGAACAAACATAATAACCTTTCAGTACCTGTACCAGTACCTGTACTGCAAACCATAATGCACAAAGAGAGAGAGAGAGAGAGAGAGAGAGAGAGACAGAGACAGAGACAGAGAGACAGAGACAGAGAGACAGAGAGACAGAGACAGACAGAGAGAAATGTACACTGGTAAAGGGACAAGTGATGGAACATTGTATGATTGAAATTCAACCATGAACAACTTTGTAACAGTGTATCTCACTGTGATTCAATACAAATATCACTGTATCACTGTCATCCCAAGTAGATTTACTCCAGCAGGCGCCAGTAACATTGTTATTCATCCCAGCCCTGAGATTTTTAGCAGCCTCTCCTTACTCGTCTTTCCCAATGATTGGAGGCTCTTTCAGGGTAAGGGGAATGAGACCTGTTATAGTTACTGGTTTTGGCATATCGAATATGCCATGGGGTGCTTGCCAGGCTCAGCCCATGCGGGCAGGATATGCTTGGTAGCTTGTCGAACTCTCCTAGAGGCATAAATATATATATATATATATTTAAAATACACATATATATATTTTTAAAAAGAAATAGTGCACATGGACAAATTATTCCCAGCCTTGCATCTGACTCCAAATCCATGACTTAAGTTCATTAGGACATACCATTAAACCTAACCTGAAATTGGGCATGAGATTGTGCTTCCTCTCAGCCCATGTTCCTCTATTCTCTCCACCCAAACATGGTGCTAGAGAAGCATCAGGGTCTGTTCTTCTTGTTCAGTGAAATCTCAGAAAGTGAGGTCTGATCTCCACTTTTATTCTCGGCCCAGACCATGCCATGCTGTTTCCCTGCACGCTGCAACCACGCCACATTCTCCTCAGTGTGGATGTGGCTTCTGTGTGACTTACTCTCTGAGGGACATCTCACCTCTCCCATGACCCCACATTTGCTGCTGAATACACATCTTTAAAGGTGCAAACACTGAAAGCCTTTCCCTCTTGCAATCCCCTCTTTGCTCTAAGGGAAAGAGGCTCAGATTATAGAGTGGGTAGGATGTTGGAATTGCTGGTCTGCGAATGAGGAAATTCACTTTCTCTTTCCCTCTCCTGTTTCCTTAGGTGTGAAATGAGACTAAGAGTGCCAAACTCCAGGGAGACACCGAGTTGGAGGGGTAGTATGTGTAGCTACATGCCCACATTTCTTAGGGGTTGCCCTGACGCAGACCTTGGGTCTGGGAAAGTATCCTGTAACTTGTGCGTGAGGGTGAGAGTGAGCAGCAATACAAGGAGGAGCAAACAGAGAGGCAGGGGCTAGGAAAAAGACCAGCTTGCCTTTCTCTGAGGCCTTATTTCTGCACCCCTTCACGGAATTGATGCCATACACTTCCCACTCTGCTCGCCTGCTACTTGTAACTAGTGTGGGAATGTAGACACACTTAGAGCAACATATTCGCCCCTAGGTCAATAGGGGTATTTAAATGTTACTGAGCTGAGGTGAAGTCATATGGAGACTTTAGTTCCCACTCACACTGGTCATATTTCTAGCATTTTGTAGCCATAAACTATTCTTTCAGAGGGTTCTTGTGGTCTAATCTTGCCATAATGAGAAGGTGGAAGGGATAGGGTTTATGGGACAAGCCCATGGTTTTTATGTGGGAACTCATCACTCAACTCCTTCCAGATGACTACTGATCTCCCTGAGAATAAAATTAGATCCTTATCTTGCCCCACAAGTAGAATGAATAAATTATGTAAAAATTGTGCAATAAAACACAATTCAATAATGACAATAAACTATAAATATAGTGAATACAGTGAAATCATATGAGAAAATTAATCTAGATATAAACTCTCTAATTTGTATAAACTCTTAGTATAAACTCTCTTATTTGAAATGTTTAAATTTTCTTTAACTAATTCTGATTTTTTCTTAAGAAAATTAGTATCTTGTTAACATTATACAAAGATAGATAATAAGTTATACTCTACTGTGGCCTGGAGTGTGGTGGTGGTAGGGTAGTACACACTCCAGGCCACTTTCCACATGCTTGTGCCGAGCATCACTCATGAGTGAAGTCCCACAGAACCCAGTTAATGAGGAACTTTGTGACCTTGGACTCTGGGCTCAACATATTCCTGGACCGTGACACTCCCTACCCATTTTTCATAATTACCACACCATATTTGATGGGATTCAGAGAGTAGAGGGAAATATATATATATATATATATATATATAGAGAGAGAGAGAGAGAGAGAGAGAGAGATCGATCTCAGAATGCCCAGCAAGCTATCTATCTATCTATCTGTCTGTCTGTCTATCTATATACTGATATATATATATATATATATATATATATATATATATATATATATACCTCAGAGAGCCCAGCAAGTTACTGAGAATATCCCATTGGCATGGCAGAGCCTGGCAAGCTACCCATGGCATAATTGATATGCCAAAAACAGAAACAATAATTGGTCTCATTCCCCTGACCCTGAAAGAACCTCCAATACAGCAGCGTTGGGAAAGATGAGTAAGGAGAGGATGCTAAAATCTCAGAGCTGGTACGAATGGAGACTTACCGGCGCCTGCTTGAGTAAATCAATGAACAACAGGATGACAGTGATACAGTGATACAGTGAAAAAAGAAAACGTAGTGTATAATTCAGTTATTTTTGCTATTTTAATATTTGACTATTTTACTATTAAACATAAAACAGAAAAAATAACCTATAGAGTTTAAATAATTAGAAGAACTTGGAAGTTAATGAAGAAGAGAGGGACACAGGAGCCTTTTGAAATATTGGTAGTGTTATATTTACTTATCTGGGAGTTGGTTATACTGGTTAATTTAAGCTCTTAAAAATAATGACAGAAAGGTTTACATTACTAAGGCACTCAATTAAAAACAGGAATAATTCTAAATAACATAATTGTGTTCTGTGTAAATGGTGACCCTTGAATTTTGAAATGTTACAGCTCTGCCTGGGTCTCATTGTCCCTGAATCAAACCCAGAACTTCTCCCTGACATAGAGAGAAATTCTGATGCATGACACCATCTCTGGATGTGTTAGACATGCAGAACCAGTCCCCACTTACTCAGGGTCCTGCACGGAGCCTCCAACACAATGGAATCTCTCAGGCACTGTTTTCCAGTCTTTTGCCATTTTTACCATTGCTCCAGCATCAAGGACCCCGTAGCCAAAAAGGTGATTAAATTCCAGGCCGACCCCGTTCCGCCGCCACTGATGAACCTCATCATGAAGCTGGTTCCGCTTGGAGGTGAGCACAGTCAGATGCTGCATGTCTCGCCAGGTCAGATCCAAGCTGAATATTGGGGCACAGAGTGAGGGGACAAGGGCACGAGGAGGGAGAAACAGGGAGAGACACAGTGACTGAGATAGAACAGAGACAGATTTTGGAGCATCAGTGAAACCCCAAGTCTAAAAGAATATTTCCATGCCCTGCCCTCTTAAGAACTCTTTTCCTGAAAATTAATACCTAACATCATGCATTGTCTGTTTCCTATTTTTTTTAATTTTTATTAATTTTTTAAATTTTATTTTTGGTGAATTACCGTGAGGTACTGTTACATACTTATAAACATTCGTGTTTCCATTTCAGTCATACAATGATGGGTTACCCATCCTTCTACTAGTGCCCATTCTCCACCACCAATGATCTCAGTATACCTCCCATCCCCCACCTTCTCCCCCTCCCCACACTGCCTCTGTGGCAGGGCATTCCCTTTTGTTCTCTCTCTCCTTTTGGATATTGTGATTTGCAGTAAAGGTATTGAGTGGTCATCACGTTCAGTCTATAGTCTATTTTCGGCAGCTCCCAACCTGAGCGGGCCCTCCCAGCACCCTTTACTTGGTGTTCCCTTCTCTGTCTGAGCTGCCTTTTTCTCCAACATGTGAGGATAGCTTCCAAGCTGTAGGGTAAACCTCCTGGTCCTTATCTCTATTGTTCTTGTGTGTTAGTCTCCTATTCTGTTACTTTACATTCCACAGTTGAGTTCAATTTTTCTATGTCTGTCCCTCTCTTTCTGAATGTCTGTTTTTTAAACTACAAGTCAGGACCAATTTGTGGGCTAGAAAACCCATAGATTGCACAAGTTATTGACCTAATATTCACATTAAATTTTCTGGAGGGAACATTCCCAAACACTGGAAATTAACACATTTCAAGCATTTACACAAAATCTAACGTGGACAACTTGTGGATTTTGGTTTTAAGGATTTCTTTTTCAGTGCCAGAAGGTGAACAAGAACCTCACATGTATGTCTATTGCTCTTCACATAGCTATATACCCAGCCCTAGACTAGCATTTTAAAATGAATGGAATAGAATAAAAAAGAATAGCTTCATTGTGTGTACTGTGAGAAACTATTTTTCATAAAACTTTGGCTGCTTTGTATGTGTGTGTTTGGAGGGAGTGCAAAACTTCTCACAGAGGGATATGGTAAAAAATGTTGAAACTTTGTATCTATTTTTGAAATCAAACAATACAATGGACTAGGAGCAACAGTTCTCATATAATAACATTTCATCACAGCAGTATTCATTGGTTCCAGTTGAATCATATCCAACAGATGTTAATGATCCAAATGCTCTTGTAGCTTAAAACTTTAGTCCTTAAGTATGTAGGCAGGTCAGTTCTAATTTGAGAAACTGAGAACAAATCTTGGACATATCGCTCTAGGGACCCAAGTGAATAGTATAAAACTTCATGCATCTGATAATGGTTAAATGCACCAATTTCACTGAAATGGGACAGAATTCATTAAATTTAGAGGTACTCACTAATAAGGACTTGGTGATCTGATCTTGCATTAACCTGAAAGCTGGTGTATTATCCCTCATCTTTCATGCCAGTTCTAGCTCCTCAATACTCAGAGAAGGACATTTGTAGGTGTCCATCCATGGATTTATTCTTATAAAGTTCATGAGAAAGACCTTGCATATTAGAACAAGGATCTTTTTTCACTTCTGAAACAAATCAGAGCATAGTCTATGATGGAAGTAATTGAGTTTGTTACACTGACCAGCTATTTGCATATGTTGGAAAAGTGAAACTAAGTTCTTCCTAATTCCCTTCTAAGAAATTTCAGAATGAGAGTATGTATTATTGTGTAAAGTTATCAATCTGCTTTAATCCTCTCCTAGAAATCTAAGGAAATGGAAATGAAAAGAATGATAGCTCTATTATATATTCTAATAAATATAAAGTCTCTACAATATAAATGGCACCATGTTTGATGTTATAGAAAAAGCAACATGATGTGTCCTCCCCTATTCTCAAATATTTCATATAGTACTCGGATGGAGAATACACAAACTGGGACCAGAGTCATAGTAGAGTTGGGAAGGGTGCTTGAAGGCATGATGCGGTTTGATACAGGGCACCACATATGGTCTCCCAAGCCTGCCAGAAGTGATCCTGAGCATAGAGCCAAGGGTAAACCCTGAGCATTACTGGGTGTGCCCCTCCCTACCCTCCCTCCTTCCCCAAAGAAAGTGTTGCACAATTAAATGTTCCCCTGAACTGCCATAGACTGGCTACCATGTCCAGCACTGACCCAGAAAGGACCCAGAGAGGCTGATTCCGTGCCTTCATCCAAGCGTTTGGCATTTCCAATAAGTAAGCATAAACTCGAGCAAACCTGGTGTAGAGGGTGTTTCCTAACTTCCTGGGAAGCTCTACTTGTTCAAATTACACTTTCAAGGCACTCTCCTGAGATTCTGTGCCTGTGAACCAGGGATGGGCCTAAATACTAAGGGGCCAGATTGGATAATAGATAATCCAGGAAAGTTTGAGGAAATGTTGTTTAATAGTGTCATCAAAGAACTGCAAGAAAGTGGCATTATAAGCCAAAGTCAAGAGACAAGTATATATAATGCAGGAAAAGATAGAGAAGGGAGGTGGTGAGTTACTGGAGAGAGAAGGTTCTGAAAAAAAAAAAAGAGTTTAGAGGTAGGAACATGCAAATATCATGTAGGTTTATTAAAAAGTTTAAGTGGAATCTTAAATATGAAAGGGAAAGGCAGTTAGAGCACCATGAATCATGCAGAAGATATCTGGGAATTCGCCCTTACCGGAACAGAGGGACTTTATCTCATGCCAATCAGTGAAGCAGAAATGAGACCAGGTCTGATGACATTGGTATATTGACAAACATCATCAGGAAGAATGGATTCAGAAAATTTCAAATGGGAATTCAGGACCACACTAATCAGAGATTACTGTGGGAAATTGGCTCAGAATGGTATGCTCAGAAGGAACAAAGTTGGGAGCAGTTACAAGACCATGCATAAATAAATGTCAGATGAACTATTAATAATAACTGGTAAGTATGTGTAATTGCCAGGAAATTCAGAGCCATTCACTCATAAGACCATGCAATGTTCCAGTGGGAAACCAGAAAGCAGAGTGTAGGTGACTTGGGTAGAACAGCTGGCTCCTGGTTGGGAGAGCCTCAAAGCGTGAAGTGGAACCCAGGCCTTCTAGAGGAGATGTCACCCCCCACCCCTCCAGCCGCCAGGAGGGGCTAGAGCTCCAAAGAAATGTCAATCAGTCAGGAAAATGAGAAAATCTCGTCTGAAATAGTCTTGTTGAAGACAGTTTGGGGGGCTCTTGGTGAAGCCAGTGTGAATCTCAGGAAGAGAATTTGATTCACCCAGTTGGAAGAGGAGTCTCGCACCAAGGGTGGACTCCTAAACCACTTAAAACTGGTCCTGACTGTGGCATAGATGCTGAGGTTTATTTGCTTACATAAAATCAGCAGAACAATATCTTCTACAGATAAGGTTCTGTACTCAACAAAACTTACAGTTGCTTTACTGTCTTCTCATAAGAATAGAGAACAAAATGGTGACCTTTTTATTTCTAAGGTCTGTGTTTGTAAAGATTACCTGACCTCATTATCTAAGTAACAGAATAAATTTATTTGTTATAGAACATATTTTATTTATTCAATTTATTCTATGTATTACATCTATTCTATTTACTATATCAAATAATCCTGGTCTCAATGAACATTTTCTCCTATTCCACAAGACTATATGAGGGACTTAAGGAGAGAGGAGAGAGAACATGTATCTTTTTTTGCTTTTTTGGGTCACACCCGGCATTGCACAGGGGTTACTCCTGGCTCATGAACTCAGGAATTACTCCTGGTGGTTCTTGGGGGACCATATGAGATGCTGGGAATCGAACCCAGGTCGGACACGTGCAAGGCAAATGCTCGACCCACTGTGCTATCGTTCCAACCCTGAGAACATGTATCTTTAGAAGGATTGAAAACTTAAATATGTTAAAGGAGTTGCAGTTTTAAGTTTGGAAGAATGGCTTCTGTTTCAGGCAAATTCCAACAACAAACTGAATTTTAATCCCTCTACTTCTTAGTTATGATCTTTATCTGAACAGAATGAACTCTGTGAACTGAACAAAAACTTTTTATCTCATGAAGTACTGAAATATTGATTTTTTCACCTTTAATTTTGACTTTATTCTCCAAAACCTGATAGGATTAAAAAGCAATTTCAAAGGTCTATATTATTTTCAGTCTGAGAAAAATAATACATTAGGAAGTTAAGCTGACATTTTCTCTACTTTCCCTATTACTTGCCTCCTGTGATTGGTGAAAGAAAATTCAGTTTATATAGTACCCTAGTGTAGTTGTATATGAAACCTCTTATCAATGAAACGGAAACCTAGTATTGTGCATTGGTTTTAAGAAAAAAAAACATGGTGACCCATTGCTATGGACAAATAAATGAATGGTGAGATCCTCAGCTCAAATGGTCAGATGTTAGATCTTTCTTGAAAAGGAAATCAGATATTTCATATTTTCAAAATAAGGAAAATGAAAGGAGAAAAGTTTGGGAGGGAAAATCAAATTCAACTAAATATGACATATACAATAAAATTGAAAGGTATTTGGAGTAACTTCAACTGAAATTACTACTTTTGGTCTGGTTCAAGTGTAGAACATTGGCCTTTTCATGTTTATGGACCTGGGTTCAATCCCTAACAATGCATCCCCCATGGAGAGTGGCTTCTGTTACAGTAAAACAAACAAACAGATAAAAACCCACCACAACTTTGGACCAGAGATTGTGATAGGCTGGAGCACATGTTTTCCCTGCAGGAGTCCTGGCTCAATCCCTAGCACCACTAGGCTCCCTGAACACTGCTAGCAGGGAATGACTCCTGAGCACAGAGCTTGGTAGCTTGTTCACTACCAAGTACAGGTCAAAAATAAAAAGAACAGAATAAAACGGAGCAGTTCTGTTTTCACCACTAACTGAAGTTTTCCATCAGG